GAAGTTCTTTGCGTGGAATTGTTGTAGTAAGCGATGTTTGATGCTGGAAACCGTTTTGGTTTGGATGATTTTCGCTCCGAAGCCGGTTAGAAAAGTGTTGTAGTACGTGATGTTTGAGCCAAATTGGATGATTCTCGCCCCGAAGCCGGTTAAATATCCCTGCTGCGTGCAGTTGCGGGGAGGCCCTCCGTAGACAACAATCGTGGGGGAAGGTCTTCGTTAGTGATGGCGTACGTACGTACGTGATTGTGGGGAGGGTCTTCCTTCTTCGCAACTCGAAAAATGGGGCTGAGTACCGTGTACCGTGCGTGCTGTGTTGCTTGCAGATTCACATTTTTTTTGTTTCCGGATAGGATGGGATCGCGCGATGAGAGCCAGAAGGACGGGGCCGGGCGAACGATAGGCCGTAGCAGCGTGTTTTTCGCTTTTTTTTTTTCCGAGCAACGACGACGATGACGGGTTGCTAATTTTACCGGGTGGCCAATGGCGTGACGTCGTGGGGATCAAAGGTGGGAAAGGGCGAAAAACGCTTGTGGAGGAGTAGGTCTCTCACGTGTAATGCCAATCAATTTCAGTTACAGAGGACTCAACCCAAGTACGCCAGGGGGGAGGGGTGGGTCGGGGGCCTCAGGGAGAGGAACTCTTGTGTGGCCGCGAATTGGAGAGCTCCCTAGAATGTCCGGTACCATGATGGGAGCTTTTGTTTTTCAAGTGATACAAAAAAAAATCAGCTGGTGTCACTCGAGCCTTACAATGCCGAAGAGACTTCCAACACGTGCCCTTCTGAGAATTTTCTCAATCGGTTGTGTACATCAATAGTTACCCCTTGCTTCCCCTTTCGGTCTCGCATGAGGAGGATATATATTTCGCTCGTCCTTTCTCCCCGAGCAATGCTACGGTAGGGGGGACACTTTTTAAGACATGGGTCACATGCTGTCGCCCGACAAGGTCCATATAAATGCTCGTAACTCTCTCAATTTTTGCATTTCAAGGAAATCAATTCTGCCCAGGCAGCCGCCTGGCGTATACCTCGCGGTGTGCAAAACAGTAAGAATTTTTTCCATTGGTTGAGGCAGTACACACCAGTCCGCCAAAACACTCCATATGACCGAGGGGGTACGCCCTATCGTAGCATCCCTCCCCCATCGGCAAGGATCGCGCGCGTGGTGCTATCTGGAAGACCCGTGAAGAGGACTCCCTTGTTGTCAACTCGTGCGGAACAGCAGCTGTTGTGGTTGCCTTGGGTAACGGTAGAGGAATGACAACAACAGCAGTAGTGGGGGACGGATCCGCCGCTCGAACGGGGGCTACAAGATCCTGTCCCCCGTTTTTCCTTCGGCGGGGAGTTAAGACATCTCCCCGCACCTTGCAGAAGGAATCATTCTCTTTATATGTTCCGCCTACACATCTAATCCTCGGATAACACATCATCACACGCGTGTTGTTCTAGGCGTTTTCTTGTACCCAAACGCAGCAAGCAGTAGAAACCCCAACTTACTTGCAGTTAGGATGGGTAGCGTCTACTTGTTACCTACACGGTCATCTACACAGGTGGAGGGGGGCACGAAAGGCCAACCGAGGCGAGAACGAAATGAGGTTGCGGTTGGTTAACGGTTCGTAGTCGTAGCTGCCTCCTCATAGCAACAGATTGCCGTGGCTCACCGCTATTATTGTAGAGTTAACGTGTCTCGACGAGATGAGCGGTGAGTTTTCGTGCCTCATGTGTCGGGATAGTCGCGCACGGTCACCGCCATGCTCCCGATAACTAGTCGCAATGACTCACACGGCGGCATGACGGTGCGGGGGAGGCTTCTGGGTGTTCAGGCCAGAACAGACCCACCCCCTCTTCGGAGCGAAGAAACAATCCAAAGCAAGCAAAAATGGAGGCCGCTGATTGGCTGACAGACGCTAGGCAAGCCGAAAATCTGTCCCTCCGGCCGTCTGTCATGTTCGTGTTTTTGGAACCTGCCGGAACTTGAAATGTTTTTTATCGCTCCCTTCTCCTTGGGCGTTATTCTTCTCCTCTCACGACTACGGCGCTGCTTCCACGTAGTCACCACGCGCTCACAAAGACACCTGAGTGCCACAGCTAATCCCGGACCGACTGATCCACCACGAGTAATCGTTACTCTCTCCCCTCCTCTATCTACAAGTTTTTGGAGGGAGCAGCGAACATGACGCGCACCATGCGCACCTTTCTTTCCCTCCCCCCTACTACGGCTACACAGGTAACTGACATTAAAAACCGAGACGCAGAAATCGAACAAAAAACGATTAACAAGACTGTTCATGAAATAAGCGAATCAACCCATCACAGAAAGAAGACACGCTCCGCTTGTGATTCACCATTCTTTTAACCCCCCCCCCCGGTGTGTTTCTCCGGCACAACCACAGAAAAATAAAAATAATGGATGCAACAGAACACAGCGTAACACCAGCAGGGGCGGATTGAGCCCTCTCTTTTTTTTCCTTCGGCGCCCCAAACCCAACCCCCCGCCCTTCAAACGAGGCCAAACTAGACGAGACAATACCTAAATAAAATAGGGGCAACGCCGTCTACGACAGAACCTCCCCCCGGAACGGTAACATACTGTGCACACAACCAACACAATGTTCTGGGATCGAAATCACATAACGCGCCTGCCTGCCTGTGGCAGTAGCATTGTCGCTGCTTGTGAGAAAAACAAAGACAATCGTCGGTATACGATCTCTTCCTGCATGGCAAATAAACGGGGAGGGAGGGACCCGCTCGCGATTGGCCTTGTCATGACCGCGGAGCGGATCTTCTCGCACTGGCCCCGCAGCATGCGCAGGGTCTCCATGAGAGCAAGCGACACAAAACATCACCCATGCATACCGTCATTTATGGCAGTGCTCATGACCTCCCCTTCCTCCCTCCGCGCGTATCCACGACCCCCCCTGGTGCAGAAAACAAAAGTGTATACCAACAAGATACTTGTCACGAAAAACACCAAAAAGACGAGGTCGAAGCGGTGTGACTTCGCGACTTGACGGCGTTGCGACGCCAGACAGGGAAACGCCACGCTATCACCAATAACTGTAACATAATATGGCGCCAAAAACGTCGGCCGCCATCCCTCCTCGGCAAAACACGAAAAAAAAGGGGGGGGGGAGGATAACGACGAACAGGGTGAATCCAAGAAGCCATNAAAAAAAAAAAAAAAGGGGGGGGGGGGGAGGATAACGACGAACAGGGTGAATCCAAGAAGCCATCTCACCACAAAACAAATCTCTACAGACAGCAGCAGCGACAGGCAGCAGTAAAAAAATAGTAGCACACGGAGCACGGCTTGGGCTGCGTTACCAACACCTCCAACTTCCATTGCCTCCCTCTTTCTCTCCACCGTACAGAACGGGTCCACCATCCCGCCTGGCCCCACATCCACGCCACTCTCTACCCCTCTCATGGCGGGGGGACGAAAAACTCGACAGAATAAACTGCCTGCGTCCTGACTGGCCCATATCAGAAGCATTATTCCTCGATGTTTGGTTTGCGACACGTACAACCTTCGACACCGGTTCGCGCACTCGCGGGGGGAGGAGGAGGAGAAGGAGGAGCAACACTTGTCCGATGGAAATAGCGACAACAGAGTCGCGTAGCCGTCCGTATTTATAGCCTCTGCTGCTGAAAACAAAACATGCTCGGGGACGTGTTGTCAAGGGTATACAAGAAACAAAGGCCTGCAAAAAAAAAAAACACTGTCGAACCCCCCC